TCAAAGGCGCCTCCTTGCAGCGCCCACACCCGGCGCGCGGGGGGTGGGGGTGGGGAGGGGGAACCCGGCGACCCCTGGCCACCCCCTACCCCCGCCAGGCGCACTCTGCGGATGCTCAGAGGCCACCCACCACCACCCACCCTCGCGCGCAACCCTTTACCTTCCGCTTGTGCCGGTGGACGTCGCCGATGGAGTTGGCCACGGTGTTGGGGCCCAGGAGGAGGCGGGTACTGCGCGGCCACTCGGTGCTGACCAGGCTGTGCTCGCCCATCAGGATCTTGCGCACGTTCTCGGCGCCCGTCACGCGGATCAGCGGCCGGCCCAGCAGGTGGGTCTTGAAGACGTTGCCGTATCTCTCCCGCCGTGAGGACTGGAAGCCGGGGCCCTGCAAGAGAGGAAGCGCGGCCGCTCAGGCTGGCAGCTCCCCTCTACCCCCACTCCACAAACCCCACCCCCCCGGCTGGAGGCACGGCGGGGCAGAGGCTTTCCGTGAACTCTGCGCCCCCTCCCCAGTTCCCCCAGACCCATTCCCCTCCGACTTTCCACTGCAGGGATCCGGGGCTGTCCAGCAGGGCTCCGGCAGTCTCCGTCCCGCCTTTCTCGCGCCTCGGGGAAAGTGCTGCAGCTTCTCTCGGAGGACGGAGAGCGGGACGGGAGCCCCCCACGGCGGCCGCAAAAGGCTGCTGAAGCGACGGCGCTCCCCCCCCCGCCCCCCAAGCCTCCCTTCCGTGCTCAGCCCGCATCTTCTGCCCACTTCCATCTGTTCACACGCACACGGATGGATGAGGGTGTCCAGAAAAGGTTAAACTGTTCGGGAAGGAAAAGGGCTTTTCCTGCCCACGGGTGTTAAGTCCTACGCGTGGAAAACGGGGTTTTGGGTGGGGGTGGGTGGGTTTTTTGGGCCGTCCCGCGTGGTCCAAAGACGGTGGGAAACCGCCAGGCGCGGGACGTTCGCCTTCCTTAACTGGGGCTTTGGTTACTTCTGCTCGGAGGGGGCGCCTCTGCCGGCCTTAGCCCCCTTTCCTGCTCCCCACCCCCGCTACCAAGGCTGCTGGAGAGCCAAAGAAGGGCGCAAAGGCGCGAGGCTCGATCCAAAGAAAGCGAGGCAGCCTCCGAGCCCGGAGGGTCGCGGGAACCCTGAGCCAGACGGCTCGAGCGCGTGGAAAGGACGACGAGAGTTTTTGTGAGCCTCGAACTCGAGAGTTTAGTGAATTGTGGGGATGCGGAGGAGGCTTAACACGGGCAAAGGCGGCGGGGGGGGGGGGGGGGGGAGGTTTCGCTAGCTCCTTCAGGGAGGTCCGAGGCCTCATTTGAACCTCTCTCCCAAAGATCTTCGGGTTACCTCGCCTAGGATGCCGAAGGCGCGTGAGCGTGTAACTCGGGCACAAACACACGCCGCGTTGTTACACACCAGGCATTCCCGGCGCAGCTGGCCATCCCTGGAGGCGGCCTGGGCTCCCCTTGGCGGCCTGGGCTCAAGCAGAGCCCGGATCGCCATTCCCGGGGAAGGGGAGGGGAGCCTTCCTTCCGCTGCCGGGGTGGGCTTCGGCGTCGCTGTCCAAATTACCAGCGGTTGGTTTCGGGGGTCGTCGAAGTGCAGGCAGAATCCGGAATGCAAATACTGGGCGCCCCTTTTACAGACACTCCCCAGCCGGTGGGGGCGGGGGGGGGGCGCAATCTTTCTGCTTGGCTGCATCGGAGGCAACGAACGGAATCTCCCCATTCCTTCGCGCTTGCGGCGGCACAATACAATGAGGAGGGTTCCTTAAGGCCATCGAGACCACCCCCTGCGCCCCAGCTTAAAGCCTACCTAATAGGCGCCTCTCAAGTTCCCTGACGCTGAAAGGAAGTTCTCATTTGGGGAGGGGAAGAGGGGGGAAAGGGACCAAATGCCTCTCCCGCCCAGAGACGGCCAGGTGAAGGCGGGGGGGAGAACGCGGTTCCCCAAGACTGAGGCTGCCCTGGAGTCGGGATCCCCTCGACGGAAGGCGGGCTCCGGAGACGCCCACCCGTGGAACTGTGGAAGGGGACTCAATTTCTTAGATTAACCCTAAGTGGGGGGGAGGGTTGAATCCTCCTCCTCCGTCGCCCCTTCGCGCAGTCGGCTCGTCCTTTCCACGGAGGACGAATAACCGGGCGAACCCACGCCAAATATCTTTGGCTAAGCGCGGGACGAGACCGGGACTCCTAATCACTTCCCCAGATGCTGGCGTGGTCCTGGGGGAGGGAGGGAAAGAGCCGCAAGCAACCCGAGGGGAAAGGGGGCACTTGGACCTCCCGCGGGGTCCTCCTCCCCATTTTCGGAGCTAGAAAGAGGAGGGTATATTTTTCCACCCCCCACGCGATTTGGAAGAAACGCCGCAAGAGGCTCCATGCGCCTTTTACAGCCAAAGAGGCGCCCCACTTTCCCGGCACGGGGTCCTTCAGAGGCAGAGAACTGGGGTCGGGGAAGGGTTGGGATTGGGGGGGGGCTTTTAAAAAAACAAAAAAAAAACAAAAGCACAGTTGTGAACTTCAGCAATTCAGGTGATCCGGTGTCTTGATCTGCGTAAATATAATTAGAAGTGCTTTTAGGGGCATTAATAAAGGGTTATTTGTGCAATATTTCCATCCTTGTACAAAGGGCACCTTTATGTGGGAAGGTTTTCGGCCGACTCCGATTTATATACTTTTTTGTAACATTTATTTTTAGTCCTAGACTTTTTTTTCCCCCCTCTCTCTCTCTTTTGCCTGGATGGAGCCTTGAGGAAAAAGGGAGAGCCCCCTTCTCGGCGCCCCTTGTAAAAAATCTGATAAATTTCTTTTTAAAATAGTCCCATTGAGGGACGGCGCTTAACTCTTTAGATGCGCGCGGGGGGGGGG